AATCAATTACAACAATTTTACAAGTCTAATTTACTTGGAGAAGAATTGTACGCAATTTAATTCTGTTTCTTTATTAATGTCTGCGAGATCTATATATACATTTTTTTGGTTACATTATGAAGTATTGGTTCGGAACTTGTTGCATAATGTACTCTATTGTTTAAGATAGAACTTAAGATTGAAAAAAAAGAGCAAGATCAAAAGCGAAATAAAAATAGAATTTCAACAGCGAATTTAAACTAACGAAATCAGGCTAGGCAGATTTTATTGAAATCGAGAGATTAGCGAAATTATTATTAACCCCGGTAACAGTACGATAGGTTTATCACCAAATTAACATTACTGTTACACATCTTAATAATACATGTACGTACATGTATTTAACATTAATTTATTGTTATTAACACTTTAACAAATTTAACATTAATTTGACACTCACACTAGATTATTGCTTTGTAATTATGCCAAATCTGATACTGATTTAACATTTGTAATACATGTAATGAGTGTATTTCTAAATTTTGTATAAAAAATAAACTCTTTTTAGTAAAAGCTAATACTTTGATCAATAAAAGTGCAAGCTTGTAAATTACACTTGTTAACGACTTGGATTTGAGGTGGGATACAAAAGGCATACATGAAATTCGTGGTATATATATGGCTAATTTAGAATCCAATCGAATGACAAGTAATTTGTGATATTTTATTATACAAATTTAGTAATAATACTAAAGTCTTGTATATATAGCAAAAGGAAAAATAAACAAATATACTTCCCAGTAATTCTGACTGGTTCGAGCGGAGATGGTCCAGAAAAGATGAGTTTGCCGGCTGTATTCTAGCCTGAGCAATTCCCAACATTGGAGTTTGACATAAATTTACCCCAGCAGATTTGACAAAAAACCTAATACATATGTTTCTATTCATAATTTACCTGGTTTATCTTGGACAATTCCATTAATATTATCATGCATGTTGGATATTATTGCATGCCGATTTTCTGTAGAAACATTAAAATGTCGATTTGAACTTTATGATATCATATTGGATAAAAATAAAGAGAATTTAGTAAGCAACTCTAAATTAAACAACTCTAAATTAAAAACGAAGAAGAAAATATTACGAAATCAACTAGGTTAAGTTAATCATAAAATATCTATTTGAAGATTTGGAAACTTTATTCTGATTTGAAAATCAAATTCTGCTAAATATTCTTTAACAGAAAAACACATATAAGTAGTATTACACTTTAGAGCAATATGAATCTAGTTTTGAAAAAGTTAATTATATTGAAAAGCAATATGCTTACACTTTATCTCGTTTATAAACTCGGATGTAATTTGCTTTGAATTATGTAATAATTTCAACGCAACTTCGGTTTTCCACGTCGTTTAAATTCATCGTCTTCATCTCATTGTTTCAGTGGTCCGTCCAACCAGGTGGCTTTGTAAATTGATCCAAAATCTCCTTTTGCAAGGTACTTAACATCGGTGAATCATTCAAAAAGATACATTCAAAGACATGATCGTTATTGATAGTATTGCATTCTTTTATTAGACGGTTGGTATCTTTATTCAGCTAGACCATTCATAAATTCGTTTATGGTAAATGAAACAATTCCATCATTCCTCATTTTTTTTTTGATAACCGGTACATTTTCTACAATTATGAGTATTCTAGTAATTAAATAAAAGATTCACTATAATCATGATTCGAAATTTTAGACGCTCGTTATCGTTACGATAGTGTTTTATTAAAAAATGATATGTGTGAAATTCGTCGTTTACCTCCGTTTGCGTTTGAGTTTGGAAATCGATTTATGCATGAAAAATGACGAATTAAACGATGAGTTAAGATTTCTATGCATGAAAAGAAGTCTTTTATAACTTCTATTGTTGTGTGTAATAGTAAATAATAAGTGCATATTGTGGGCGTAATATGTCATTAATACTTGTGCACGTTAACATAAATTGAAGTTCTGTGAAGATATAACGATAATGATAAGAATGAATGATTAAAAATAATACATGTACTTTAAATACACATAAAAGAGTTAAATTCTAATAAATAAATTAGGATAAAATGTAATTGTAACACTTAAACTCGAAATATAGTTAATATGCTTCAATAATTACCTACTAGAACATGTAACAATGTCCAGCAAAAACACAAAATTTATAAAAGTTCTTGTTTAAAATCTAGTAATATATAAATACTGCTATTTATATGGAAATATGTGATCAGTACTAGGATATAGTTATATTAGTAACAAATTACAATTAAATTTATTAAAAGAGCAACAAAATCCAACTGATTATAGATGATAGCTGAAAATAATTCCTTAGTTGAATATATTAAATTTATTACGTAGGCTCCAGATTATGAGTCATTATTAATCATTAGTTAACTCTTTCCATTACTCGTGAATCACGAATTTGAGTAATAATTAATTAGCATACTAATTATTGGCAAGTTGATTTTTTGGGTTTGTTGAGAGGTATAAGAATATCGACTTAATAGATAAACAAAACGAGGAATATTTGACTTTAGAATATGAAAATCATAACACTTGATTGTTTGTCCTGAAAGCATGCTTCAAGCGGTTGTAGCTACGAAAATCACATTCACATGATTACAATTATAATTACAATAACCATGTATCTAATTGCGTCATTAAAAAGCTCAAATCGAAAGGACAATCAATATAACAAAAACATCACTTACCAATCCGAAAATAACTTTCTTATATGAAACAATAAGAGACAAACGAAAAGAAACCAAACATAATTTCCACAAGCTTTCTTGCCAGAAACGGAGTTCAATAAATACATGTAGATTAGTCAAACTAAGACATTTACAAGGTTAGCATACTAAAATACAAATCAACTACGTACTAATATGGCGATAGTCATTACACACAATACCACTGTCAATTAAATAAAATTCTGTTTCACACGCACAAATACTAGTGATAGTGTGGCTGTGAATCAAAAATCATTAAAAATAGAACACTATATTTTGTTGTATTATAATCAGAACAATGCTGTGACTGATTTCTAACAGTATTCTTTTTTCGAGTTTTGGGAATGAGAGATTAGAATTGCCTTTCTATTGATAACAAGTAAAAATTTATGGATAATCAAAACAAAATACTTTGATGAGAATATATTTATATAAAAATGAGAGATGTGGAGGAAATGATCAAGACAAAAAAAACTAAACCACCGATACCAAATTATTTACTCTGAGCTCAAATAATTGAATCCGTTTAATTTTCAAAATTTAAAAATGGCACCAATTATTCCATCATCTGCTAATTCAAGACCTGAAGCTTCGATCTCACCAATTACTTCACCACAATTACCACAGCTACGATCACGAGACCATCACTTTATCCATGCAATAGTAAAACACAACGAATTGCAAAACGACACACTAATGCAAGCGCTACGAGAAGCCGTAGAAGCATGTTGTAACACTTCAGACCCAGAAATACTGCCGAAACTAATGTATACCGTAATGACAACCATCGAACAAAATTTACATAATCATGATTCACCATTGTACGGAAGTCAAAGTGCGGAATTACATGAACATTTTGGGAATTGGCGTGCCCCACTGGATGCACGTGTCGACATTAATGTAAAGATTAGATCCATCACTGCTTCTGAAAATTTACTAAGAGAAGATAACAACCAATCGAAACCAATCAATATTTTGTCGAATTGTGAGGGGGCTTTTAGGTAAAATATCTTTCGCTATTATTTCCTACCATTTCAACCACTTGTGGGTGAACATCTTTCTATGAAGAATTTAGTAATTTTAATTAAGGATATAATAAGAATATGTTGCGTTTGTTTTTTTTTACTAATTATTATGATAATAAGCTTCAATATTAATGTAACACAAATAAATCATTTTCGTTTTTGTTTCTCTTGTGTAATATCGATATTCAAACAATTACGGAATTACCCTGATGACTTGGGAACAGCTATTGTTATTTTTGATATTTGGAAGGCAAATATACATCAACATATTGTAAACTTTAAAGATAATGTGCGTAAGACAAAGGATACTAACCCAGAAATGGATCAAATGTTTTGTTCGATCGTCTGTCACACAGTTTGGTTGCATATAAATTATTTTCAATGACTACAGTATATCAAGATTTTTTACTATCGCTATGTTGTGATTATATTATATGAAGGTTTTTACCAAGGTGTAACCACGTATATATATGGGACTGAACTATCACATCTGGAAAGAAATTTATGACAATAAGTTACGTTAAACTAACCTCACAAAGCTTTCACAATTATATTTTGATTGTTACTAAGCTAACCACTGAAGAATAAACAATAACGAGTAAAATTGCTCGATTGCAACTTCTATGTACATACTTATTGAATATCTAGAATCTAGAGATGTTAACCGGTCTTTTAGGATCGGGACCCATCCGATCCTTTCAAGGAGAGTCTTGATTAGATCCTTAAATCATGTGATTTTATCATAGGACTGCGATCTCAGGATCGAGTCCTTTTATAAGTTTTGGGATTCGTCATTGTTTATTAGTAACTAGGTGTTATTGTCGCAGATTTGACAAGAATAGAGGTCGCGTGGTTTATTAGGTTTTATTTTTGGCTGTTTCTCCCCAAAACCCAGCAAAAATTTTTTGATACCATTAATGAAGAAGAATTAAAGCAATTAAAAGATGCCGTTTACGAAACAAACAATGAATCATAATAAATACAGCATGCCTTAAATAAGTTAAACACTCAACATGACTCAATTATTTAAACAACAAAGGCAGTATGTCTTAAGCAAATTAAACTCTCACCTGTTCTCATGGAAACTGAAGAATCTGAAGAATCTGAATTCACGAATGAAGAAATCTCATTCTTGGATAATATTGCAGGCCAAAAATGAAAAAGGTGCTCATCTTTGGATAATATAGCACGAAAAAAAAGCCTGGTACCTGTTCGTAATTAACTTGAATCAACACCCACCGGAGATAATAAATGTAAAAATATGCAGATGGACATTTGCAATAATGATCATAGATAGACATTTTCAAAATTTTCATCCATCATATTTTATTAAAATAAAGCAACATAAACTTGGACAACTTAATCTTATAGTTCAAATAATAAGTTGGAAATGAATAGTTTAAACAAAAAATTATTAGAATGAGTCATAATTGATCAATAATCATGTTTTCTGGTTGAAAATGCACAATTTTTGAATTTGTACAAGAACTTGATTCATATTATAAACTCCCATGTCATCAAACTCTCTCAACATAAGTTAACCAGAAATATATTATGAAGCAAAATAAAATTAAAATATTCTTAATTATAATTTTCTCAAAAGTATTGATTATAATAGATGGATAAACATTATATACTTAACAATTACATCTTAATGATATATAGATTAAATACTACTTGAAAAATATATCAAATCTTATTTGATATTTGATAATAATCACATTATAATAAATTAAAAAAATATAATTATTAGACTTTTAAAAGAAATAAATATTAATAAAAAACTTTTAGATATTATAATAAATAATATAATTATAATAAAGCATGTTTTAAAAAAATACTTGACAAATTTAAAAATATAAATATATAATATTTTATTATATTATATATATTCTTAAACTTAATATCAAAAAAGTAAAACTAATTATTAAAAAGTCTAAAAAAATATAAGAATTCTCTATAAAATTTTAAAACTCATCTTTATTTCTTTATAAATTAAAAAATATTATAAAATAAAATATATTTAATTTTTAATATTTAAAGTTAACTTTATAAATATAATGAAATAGCATATAGATTATACTAAAAACTTTGATAAATTTGTTTTATAACTAATATTTTTATTGTAAAAAATTAAATATTAAAACTAAATTATTTTCTAAGCAAATATAAAAATGTATTTCAATTAGTAATTAAATTTAAAAATATAATATATTTATTTATTTATAAATTAACTAAATATAAACTTATAAGATCTAATAATAATTCTTGATTTTAGATTATATAATTAAAATACTATTTTTTCAATATTTTTTACTCAAGATAATTTATATATAATATTTATAATTTTATTAAGTATTTAGATAATTATATATATATATATATATATTCAGAACTTAATATATAATTTATAATAACTAATATAATAAAAATTAAATATAATTTATTTAAATAATTCATTAATAATCTCAAATTTTTTTGATTTATATAACAAGTTTATAACTTATAAATTTAATAAATATAAATAAGTTATTAATAAATTTTATTAAATATATAAAAAATACAAATTAACCAAAAAAAATAAAATAAATTACCAAAAATTCAAAAAAGTATAGTAAAATTAAAATTATTTTTTTATACTAAAAATAAAATTTTTATTATAAAGAAATAATTTCAATTTTATTATATTTTACTATATTTTTTTGGATTTCTAATAATTTATTATAGATATATATATTATTATTAAAATATTATCTTTTACATAATTAAAAATAATTAATTAATTAATAAAATAAAAATCTTATTTAAAAAAAGAAGATTAACTCTATAGTAATTTAATATATAATATATATCACTTTTTTATATAATTTCTTAAATTAAAATAAGATTAATATATATTTATTTGAATCTGAAATTAAAGTAAAATAATTCTTGTAATAAAGAGTAAATATTATATTATATTCAATATTAGTATAAATTATAATTGATTATTTTATAATATAAATAATTAATATATTTAATAAACAAATCTTTTTTATTGTAAAATATATATTAATTTTTTTATAATTATATTAATTCTAAAATAATACATGTATTATTATTTTTGAAGAGCCAATATATAAAAGTAAATAATATAATAAATTTTAAAAACAAGAATTTGAAGATAATATTAATAATATTTTTAAAAAAGATAAAAAAAATAAAATTAATTAGAGAATTTAGAAACAAAAAAATATATTTTTCAAATAATAAAATAAAATAAATATATATCCAAAAAAATATATCTATAAAAAAATAATCTTTATCAGTTTTATAGTTATTATTATTTATATAATTATAACTTATATAATATATAACTAAGTAATAATTTAATTAAATAACTAATTTAAAGAATTATAATTTAAAATCTGGTTAAACTAATAGATTTATAAAATATAGTAGTTTAAAAAAATAGAATGCTGAAAAAAATGACAAATACAAATATCTTATTATTGAAAGAATATTAATAAGTCAATTTAATTCAATAATATATTAAGTATTAATAAGAAATTATTTTAATCTATTTTTTAAAAAAAAATAGGGATTTTTTTAATTTTTTTGTTTTATTTATTTTTTCACCCATGCCAATTATTATTTTCTATATTTTTTTTTGAGATAAGACTTTTTCACTTAATTCTTATAAATAAGCTATTTCTTCAAAATATATATTCACTTTGAACTTCAATAATAATGTATTTTCCAGAGTAGATTAATCTCAAAGTATTTTGTTTGTAGCATACTGAGAGAGTTAGTGATGACTGGATTTTGGCTTGTTAAAACTTCAGTTTCTTTTTTTATAATATACAGTAGCCGTCATAAGTATCCGACCGCCCGTAATTTTTCATAGATCATATGTAATGTACCAAAATTTTTCACGTATAAAGAACTATATAAATATTGATAATTTATGCC